GAAAAATTAATTTTATGATTAATTTAAAGATGCTTATATTATAATAATGAAAAAAAATTGAGTATAATATTAAATAAGCAAACGTAATAATAATATAATAATATAATATATAAATAAATAAAAACATATAAGCCTGCAAATCATATTACATGCCGGTACATAATAATATGTTATAAAAAAACTATTGATATCCCAACAAAAACACTTCGTCGAACTCCATGTAAAAAATTGCTAAGTCAAAAAAAAAACTGGTCATCTTCAACATTATAAAGATGTAATATCATGAATAATTGCTAAATACATTAAATTTAAATAATAATATATTCTATATCAATAATTTATTTACTTGAGCAAGAATTTATTTTATTTATAAATTAATAATTAAGACATTTTTACAAAAGAAATTTAGTAACATTTCTAATGGAAATTTTTTAAATAGTCCAGTTACAAACAGTCAAGTTTATTTGTCAAAATAAATTCTCGCAAAGTAAATAAATTATTGAGATAGAATACATTATTTTTTAAATTTAGTGTACTCAGCAATTATTCATGATATAACATCTTTATAATGCTGAAGATGACCAGTTTTTTTGACTTAGCAATTTTTTGCACGGAGTGCGACGAAGTGCTTTTGTTGGTATTATTTTATACATTAAATTTAATTGAAGTTTAGTAGTATTTATATTTACATTTATAGTAGTTTTGAAGATTAGTATTAGTAGTGAATACAGTACGTTTTAGATTATTTACGAAACCAAGTTAATTTTGAAAGTAAAACCAGGTGTTGAACAAACATTTAGCTATTTAATTTCATGTAGTTTTTTCTATAGCTAAAAATAAAGGCCAGGACAAAAACGTAATCACTATATGATCATACATAGGATTATAACGTTTATCTAAATGTAAAGTTAGAATTTCACTCGCATCTTTGTCCGGATAATATATTTTTCGTGAACGATGTTCGCGAGACGATTTTACTACGCGGCGAAATTCATCACTCATCAGTAAGGCAGAAGACTAGTAGTATTCGTACATATATTTTTTTGCACAAAAATAGCATAGTACGAAAAAAACACCTTTCATACTTTCACAAAGAAAGTCTTGAAATTTTATTTTGTATGTAATGAATACTTCGAGGTTTTTTTTTTAGGGTAAGTCCTTTTATTTCATACTTTTAGATGAAATTTGTAAATAATTTACGATTTTATCAATATTTTACCGTTAGTGTTTTTCTTTCGTGTATTAGATATATGACGAAAATATTATCGAATAAAAAAAAAAAAATAAATAAAGAATGTTGATTATAAAATATTGTTCGAACAGGCATGTAACCAGGTTTTTATTTTTTTTGGGGGTCAGAATAAATTTTAGTACAATTTTCATACATGATTGATACATAGAACCCTTATTTATTTTTTATTTTTTTATAAACCAACAAATATTTTATAATACAATACAATCTATAATTATTTAATATTTTCAACTAATGTCTATAATATACATTTTCTGCCTTTTTGAGTCATCTTCTCAAATACTTCGTCTCGTAAAACGTTTATTTGCTATTTTATTACGAAGCATTGTTTAAAATAAATGTTCAACTGCTGTTGTAGAAATTGGTAAATTTTTATAAAAATAGTATGTGTTAGATCGAAATTCGACCGCTTTTCAATGGTTTATTGTTATACCACACTACTATTTTTTTGAATAACGTGTATTTAATAATAAAGTATTTTATTTTGATTTAAATTATAAAGATTATAATTTTATATGCAGGAGCACGAACATTTCGGGAGGGGGATCCAGACTCCATGGATCCCCCTGGATCTGAGGATCACCAATTAAATTTATTTTATTTTTAAACAGAAAACGTTGTCTCATTATAAAATTTCCTAGATACCAAAAAATGACATTGACTTCTGTCAATCGTTGTTCTCTAATAATTTAATATATTAGTCACTTAGTCTTAGTTCTGCCGTCTATGTACCTGTATCTATTCGTAATTCGTATCAAATTTTCGTCTTTGTGTACTATCTTAATATTAAGGGCTGGATCACACTAACATTTTGTCGGGGACCGATAAAACGCAACCGACCAAACTGCGCCCGAAAATAACTGTTCATACTATGCGTTTTATCAGGTGCCAAAAACTGAATATACAAATAAATTTGATTAAAAAGCGCGCGAATCTTTTTTAATTTGAAACATGTTCTATAAATGGTAAAATTTTGGTTAGTTTCAACGAAACGTATCCAAGCCAATCATTAAATCCAATCGGCTAACATTACTACATTTATTACTGTCTAGATCAGTGGTCGCCAACCGGTGGTCCATGGACCACTGGTGGTCCGCGAGAAAATTTAAATGGTCTGCAGAAAAATTTAAATGTTACTTACAGAACTTTTTGTCGTTATTTCTCCAAAAAATAAAAACCTAGACATGGTAATATGTGGAAAATAAATCCATTTGCTGCAAACAATTAAAATAACAAGTTAAATAAGACCGAAAAAAAATACCTCATCGATTTATTTAACAGTATTTATGTAAAAAACTATTTTAAGCTAAAAGTAGCCCGTAGAATTTTGAATATGTATTTAGTGGTCCGTGAGGTCCAAAAGGTTTGCGACCGCTGGTCTAGATCAATCATTTCTTTTATTTTCCAGCAATTGAAATGTTATCCCATGCTGGATGGTATCCAGTTTCGGCTACTTTCTACCAACATAAATTTTCAAATCCTTATGCATGTATTCGTTTGAATCTATACTCTATTTACATGAATAGTTCTGAACTGGCTATAAGTTTTTCGGTTGAATACATTGTTATATGTTGGTTTTGAATTTTTAATTAAGAAATAAAAAACAAACGTACGACGACTCGGTGACCGAAAAACACATAGAGTAGTCACAAATTAATGTAATTTTGGGTACGTCGGAATCTTATCATCACCTCCAAACCGCAACACGATGCGTTTTGTTTTCAACCGATTTCGGATGGTAATGGAATCGGTTTACCCTGACCACGACAACAGGTTTTGTACGTTATCGAAGTGTAATTTTATATGTTGCGTTTCGATTGTCGAACGGTTACAGCGAATATTTTAAGGTTTTCGAGTGCACACGTGTTTAGTGCTTTTTCAGTGGTGCAGGCATATGCGGATATTTGATCACATCCGTGGGGGGAGACTTATCATTTTTGTTTTATCCATCAGCGTAAACAGACATTTTTAAACACTTCGACCTATTAACTAGTGGCTAATCCTACTTCATTCTAGTCGAGGAACCAAATATACATACACTAGAGGTAATAGGATCATAAAAATATAAATGTTGAATATCTACTCTTATTTTATTTCAATTGAAGGAATATATTTCTTTATTTCCTTTACTGCCTAGATAATATGATTTGCCCAATAACGAAAGTCCGTAAACATTCCAGACCATTCTCGTGCACCATCGAAATAAAATAAAAATTATAAACATCAAATATTAAAACGCGCAATTCGTTTTGATGTCTGGTGCGGTTTGATTACGTACAGGGAGGGGGGCTTAATACTCCCAATAACCACCTATAGCTACAGGTCCTCCGCCCTACTGGTCGGTGTCGGCCGTACGACGTGGAAACCGAGAAAACCGTTGCTGCGCCGATCGTACTGTTGAATTATTTATTTGGATTTTTATTTTCTTACACTCCCGATAAAAATATGTACAAATATAAAATATGTATGAGTTCTTTTTGCATGGTGTCATATTTAAAGATTCAATTTGATGGTTTAATCTACTGTAAAAAAAAAAAAATGTTATTCGATTACATGAAATAACTATATATTCTTTTATTGTTGGCAAAAAAAAAAGGTCAGATGTATACCAAAATAAACAAAGTGAATTTATCCGAGGAAACATAAAAGAACCACAAGTTTCGAACTCATCAGCTTTGTCTACAATCCTTGAAACATTTGAAATAATTTTTGATATGTTAAAAGATGTGAAAGAAGAATATACATGCTATATTACCTAATCAATCAATTTAATTTTGATTATGAAATATATATTAAATAAGTATAAACTCCTATCGTACTTAGATCCCGGTCCATACATCGACTATGTGTGTATGAAGCAGTAGCGGTTTATCCCAAAGATGGGCTGTGTGCAGAACCAAAAAAGGGCCCCCCCCCCCTTCAACTTTTTATTCTAAATAATATATAGACATAGATACATAAATTCAAATTTAAAGTAAGAGTTTTTCTTCTAAAATTCTAAAATCTTATGCAATTACACAGGTACTTTCTATTTTTATTAAAATTTTAATTACATAAAAAATAAGATGAAATTCCATACAAATAAAATAACATATTCTATAAATAACGATAAAACTAAAATAATAATAATTCAATGGAAATTTCGTTTGCGTGCTTTTTTTTCTGCAAAATTATTAATTATTTCTTTTAAATTTAATTGACGAGCTCGATCGTTTTCAATAGATAGAATTCCAAGTCCACTTAATCTTTCTTCACACATTGTGCTCCGTAAATAATTTTTGATTAATTTTAATTTTGAAAATGAACGTTCCGCTGTAGCAACTGTCACAGGGAGTGTCAAAAATAACATACATGCTGTACATATTTCAGAAAATGTTGTTGCTAATGTGGGGTTCTCTATTACAAGTAATTCAGTAATTGCTTATACCGATGTTCGTTTTGTAATTTCTTCTTTAAAACAAGATCTGAACGATAAAATTTGACCAGCAAGAGCATTAGATAAATCAGAATCATAATATTCTACCAATTTATTAGCGGATTTATAAATTTGTTCGTCTGTTAAATTAATTAACGAATTCGGTTGAATAACTTCAAATATTTTGAATACGTTATTTAAACTGGTAAAACGTTCTTCTAATTGTATTATTGCATTATCCAATGTTAAATAAAATATATTGATTTTAAAATGTTCTTCTGCTGAAGTAAAGCAATAATCTTGGAGGATTTCGTCATAAAATCGTTTTACTCTTCAGGTTCTTTTTTCTTGAAATTTTTGTGGTACACCCCATTTTTTTGCGATTTCTACTGCTATTTCGAAAAAATCACTGTATTGTGACCTGTATTCTTGGAGTTTTATCAACGCAGAATTCAGCAAAGATACTGCTGTGCTCAGTTCTTGTTTAGGAGACTGAAGAGCTTTTGATACAACATTTACAGTTTCTAGAATTTTGCCAATGAAAATTACACTGAATATAAATTGAAAATCTTCCATATGAACTTTTAAATAATTTGCTTCAAATATTTCGTCCTTATTTTTGCTTCTAAGAATTATTTGCGATAAACATTTTAAAATATCAACGTAACGATGTCGAACAGCTAATAAAGAATCATACCTTGATGACCAACGAGTGGTACATAATCTTTTTAATGTAATTGAAATATCTGATGATTCTGAAGATAAAAGTAATTGCCAACGTTTAATACTATTTGAAAAAAATGTATACATTTTTTCCACAAGTCCAAAGAAAGTTTTTACTTCCGTTGATGAATTAATTGCATCGTTTAGAACTAAGTTCAAATTATGTGAAGCACAATGGATATATGTAGCCAATTTTTGTTTAGATTTTAACCTAGCCTGGACACCTGAATATACACCACTCATGTTGGCAGCCCCATCATACCCTTGACCTCGAAGTTTTGACAAATTTAAATTATTTTTTGTAATACAATTAATAATAGATTCTTCTAAACCAGCACTTGATTGGTCAACAATTTCTACAAAGCCAATAAATGATTCATTTATTTGCAATGTCTTAGGATTACCATCAGAGTCTGAAATAACCGAAACGTATCGAATAACTTGACTTAGTTGATCAATCTTACTAATGTCTTGAGTAGTATCCATTATGACAGAAAAAAATGGTGATCGGTTAATACTTAAAATAATTTGTTCTAATATCGTATTTGCGAGTAAAGTAATAATCTCATTTTGAATAGTGTTACTTAAATAATTTGCTGTACCCTTACCACCTGGCATACTCAATAGATTTTCTAATATGGGATCATATTTTGAAATAAGGGTAATTATTGATAAAAAATTGCCTTTATTTTTACTCAAGTCTGTTTCTCGGTGACCTCTAAAAGACAAATTGGATGTAGCTAATGTTAATGTGACATTTATAACCCGATCTAATACTTGTCTCCAAAAGTTACATTCATTTTGAATAGATAATTCCATTTCTTCGGAAATAGTTTTATTTAGGCGCCATTGCTCAAATATAATACAACATTGAATAGGATCATTTGAATTATCATGGCGTTTTATATTTTGAGTTAGATGTCTCCAATCATTATTTCCCGTAACCCAAGATGAACTAATTCTATCTTGTGTAGAAAACAACCAGCAGCATTGACAATATATTTTATTTAAAGTTAATGAGTAACATAGCCATGCACGTTTTAAAGTAATATTAGCCTGATTTGTAAAATAGTAAAATTTTTCTGAAAATGATCTAGAATTATCACTGTCAGTTGGAAATGGACCCTTAGGTTGACAAGGGCCTTGAGAAATTATAAAACGTTTTTCTTGGTAACTGAGTGGTTCTTTAAAATGAACTTTGTCAGTAGGAAAACGTTCACAGATTAAACTGTTAAAAATATTAGGTTCAACATTTTTAGTATTAATAGTGTCAATACTAGATGTTGCAGTTGGTTCTGAGACGGAATTACTGGCAGTTTTAATTTTATTTAATAAAATACCTGGGTTATCAATATCTTGCTCTTCTGTTTCTTCGTGGTTTTGTTTGAAATATGTGTCAGTTTTCGGCATCCGCTTAACAGATTCTTCTCTTTGTTTTTTTATTTTGCGTTTCGCAGCACCACTGGTAGATTTTGATGCCATTATAATAGTAATTAATAAAATACAATATTTTATTGAGTTTTTTTGTAAATTATTTCAATAGACACTGAACGACGACAAAGAACAAGACTGAGTATTGCACTATCACAAAATAATACAACAAAAGTAATACAACAATATTTAATCGCGTAAATTCATGTCATGGATGTCTATATTATACATGTACCGGTATACATAATACAAAAAAAATAAAAATAAAAATAATATGGATAAGCAAAATCGACAAGGCGATAACGAAAAACCACGGAAACAGATTGCTATAAATAACGTTTAGTCGCCGTCACAGAAATACAGTAGGTACATCACAGAAATACAATATCTATATATTTTATAGATCATAACAATGATATCAGATTTGAGAAAATGAATATCTTTTAAAATTGAAAACAATTTTTTGACTTTTTCGTACATATTAACTGTATTTATTTAATTCTTTTTTTTTGAGGAACATTGATCAATAATGGGCCCCCCACGGCCCCACGGGCCGAGGGCCCGTAGCATTTGCACACATTGCACACATGTATGACACGCCACTGGTATGAAGGTAATTAAAATACTTGGCTTTATCATCAATACTTGTCTGCGAAATTATTATTTTGTGCTCTTGTCAGAGCCATTCTTGAATATGGGGCACTAATCTGTGATCCTCAGGTTGCTTGTAATATTGAACAACTCGAGCGGGTCTAACGTAAGTTCCTTAAATTCCTTAGCTTCTCTTTCCATGTCTCTTGTACTCCTCATGACTATTTTTCCTGTTGCTTCCTTGTAAGATCTATCCTCTTTAGCTGATCGTAGGCACTCTGTTGGAATTCGGTTTTTAAATGGTTTCCTAAAAGGTACTATTGTCTTCCTCTCACTAATTTCTTTTAAATTTCCAACGTAACTCTAGATCGCATGCTTTATTTTACTTACCTCTTGTATCTACTAATTATTTAGCCAATAAACCTCTCCGTCGTCTAATTTCAAACGCCAATTTTGATTCTTCTTTCACCTTTCATTAATTTTTTTTAATTTTTTTGTACAATTTCATTAGTTTTAATTAATTTTCTTGTACATTCATATATTAATCAATGTTAAATTCATACATATTATATTTTATCAAGGACATCGCCCGTACAAGCCAATAATAAAGACAGAAATACAAATTTAGTATAATGTATTTAGAAACATAAATACATTTTTGGTAGAGAAATTTTAACGAACTACTCGTAATTATATTTGTTATAATTCTTAACGTGGTAAATAAAATTGAGCGATCCTAAGTCTGAGACCTTTTTAAACATTTTTCGCCCGACTAAATGTTTAGGGTTTCGGCGCCGCTTTGCCTGTGCCTATGTTATGTGATTCAAAAAGCTATGAAAACTTTGTTCGTTGCTATGTTATTGATTATTGAAAATGTCTTGAAATATGTACAATAACATTCGAACAATTTTATTTTACTTTAAATTCTCGTTTAAATTGCATTATGTCGAAGAGTTCGTTTTTACCATCCCATGGTGTACGATACCGAGTTTATTATCGAACAGCTATGTAACCACCAAAGGTAAGCAGGTAATTTTTTTTTCTTCACAACATAATCACGCGCGTGCGTCCATCGTGAACAATCAATGGCCGTCAGAAATCTCAGTAGGCCGCGGCGTTAACCCATCGGAATGTTCGTCACACACGCGCGCACGCGCGCACGCATTTAAGATGAGAAGATGGTTTACGTTTGGTGGTTACATTCTACATGTAACACCGACTACCGCGGGCCGGTCGGCTGGCGATTGCGCGGCGAGAGGAAGACGTAACAGTGAACGATTAAGGGTCATGTTTTCACATCGGCGCTGACCGGTTTCACTCTCCCGCGAAGTTGCCTTATAATCACCGCCAAATACCTATGGTGATGATGAAAATAATATTTTACTATATCCGTATAATGTGCGTATATATTCGTGGTGCGACCTGCAGGTGTGATCCTTATGTTTTTACATTTTTATACTTTTAAAACGTAAGGAAATCGAAGTATCCGAAAGCAAAAAAAAAAAAATACTTGATAAGATATTGATTGTAAAAGTCATTCATATGAATAAGTTTGAAAACTGAATCATATATTATGTTTACGAAATACGACTCTGACCTAAGATCAAGTTAATAATGATATGTTATAGAAGTAATAGTAGTAGTAGTAGTAGTAGTAATAGTAGTAGTGAAACACGTATTAATAGTAAAATTGAAATAAAAATATAAAAGATTTCTTAAAATTAAATTAAGGAACTCCAAAGGAATATAAATATATAGATAATTAGGTACTTACATATAAAAAATAAAATTAGTTAGTTATTGTGGTAATATATAATGGTTTATATTAAACATTATTGAACTCTCTTTTTTATCGATATTATTTTATTTAAAATAATTATAGATACGAATAATTCCAAAGCATATATTTTTCATACAGCAGTAAAATACATACAATTATATTATTTTGGTTATATTTTATGGTTGTATCTCCTACGTACTAAACAAATTTTAAATTATTAGGTTACGTTGCAATTTATTGTCACTAAAAAATTTAACTGTTGAGTATTAGTATATTAGTACTAGTATGTTAGTAATTATAGTATACTATAATTGAGCAGTAGTTGAAATTTGAAATTGTTGAAATATAACATACGAACAGAACTGAATATTTTTAATGCCTCAGAGACATATCGTTGAACTTTAATTTTATTAATAACTTTAAACAATAAATTACTCACGATGATTTATTTCAGCATTTTATTTAAAAATACAATTTCACTTATTCATTGCATTTTAAATATTTAATTATATGTTAGTAATCTAATATAATGAAGATTATTTAATAAACTAATTATTTTTTGTGAGCTTTTGACTGGTCTAAAAGTTTTCATTAGGTTTTTCTATGAGAGCTTTTAAACCTAATTGGAATTCTGAAGATTAGAAATATACAATATTGAAACCAGTTAAATAGTCGAATATGACGACTATTTATATCTATAGCTTCCCAATGAGCCTTTTATTTTTTTGAATTTTAATTAACATTCATACAATGCAGTGGTACTTATATTTAACTATATAATACATCCAGAATCCGGATTTCAGCCTTCTTTAGATCCACTCTCAATTGGGCTTAGGAAAATTAATATATAATACCAGTCCACGGTACTCGTTTTCGGCTGGGATTATGTACTAAAAAGTCCCGATATAAATTAATATGCCGGTCGATTTGATTGATCAAGTGCAAATCCGGAATTTTGAAATTCCAAAAGCGATTGACTCGGCGACGTGCGCATGACGTGCAACGGTGATCAATATATCTGCAGTGTAGTACTGTGTATACATTGCGGTACGCGTGACACGGACCAATGGTTAATAGAACGCGGAGGTTACGAAATCCGACAGATTAATAACGACAATAATAATAAGAACAATAAAGTATCGAACCACGACTAGCGCCGGAACACAATGAATATATAAAATATTTACGATATATGACAGAAAATCATGCTACCCGCTAAATAAATTGAAAAATATATTATGTGGCAACATCGACCTACGTACTGTTTTAGAAAAGTAAGCATTTCGATCGCTTTGGTTTTGATAATTTTTGATTGGTATTTACTAATTATTAATATAATATTATGCAGTTCAATGATCAAACTACTCGGGGTTTATCTTAACTAAAATATAAATTATAAGTTAATAAGTTAAAATAGTCTAAAAGTTAAATAACAAATATATTAGATTAAATATTGTTTTCTATTATCCTTATAATTTATAATTATATATTTTATACACAAGTAGATTGTTATTACTTAAAAGCTGCTTGCAAAATATGTGTTTCCACGAGTATATAATATAATATCGCAGTGTTGGTTTGACTTGACTTAAGACCAGAGCCAAAAAAGGGTCCCAAAAAATTATTTATGGCAACTATAAAGTACAAAATATAAATTATTATCACAAGTACCATCAGCTGAAACTTCTACTAAAAGTTTATCGGTTTGCTCGCGAGCAATGTTAAGTAGTAATTAAAATGTTATCTATTTAAACACTTCACCTCTTTCATTTATCTAGATAACATATTAAATCATATTAAATTAACCATCATCATACAAAGGGTCTACGTTTATATATAAAACTATGCAAAATATAATTTTAAACATTTCTCAAAATACCTTAATTATAATTGTTTTAGTGAATATTTATCAAATATGCAATTATTCAAAAATAAACAATAATAATTATTGTGCATTTACATAAAATATACAAAATTATTAGAAAATTATTTACCTATTGACTAATTGACACGTCGAGATTTTTAATCATAATTACTGTAAATATTATAAATATACATTTGTTTATAAGTCCAAGCCTTAGTCATAGATATAACAGTTATCTAGATCAATCATATAATTCCGCGACATTTCATTACATTATGAATTATCGTTAATAATTTCATCATAATCTGTTTCGTAACCTTTTTTATAGTGAGTTATTTTCATCGTTAAGTATACGATATAATGCTAAAATAAGATATTCTATAAAACCATATATTCGTAATATATATATATATATATAACACCTCGATAGTAACATAATACTATTCATTATAAAAATTTAAATAGGTAACTATAAAGGTTGAAGATAGCTTGAAGATACCTCGAGTGAGTTCAAATCGCCATGGTAATGGGCGAAGTGCTTCAGTTTTTCCAACATATAGGTGGAATCAACATAAAAAACATTGGAAGAACTTCCAAAAACCAACAATCAAATCGAGGGTTAAATGAAAAACCTCCTGAATTTTTTATCACCACCAAAATATCTAGAAGTTTTTGTAAAAATATACAGATTCTCATCTGTATACATATCTAGATAAATATATATGTTTTAAATGTGATTATTTGAAAAAATATCTTTAATTCTGATAAAACCATGATTTTATTTTATTTCATGTGATAAATTTGTATCGCACATGAAATAGATTTTTAATGAATCATAAAATTTTTACAATTTACTATTAGTTGAGCTTCAAAATTGATGTTATTTTTAAATTTACTAACCTTCACATATATTTAATCGAATAAATATTGACTATTAATTTAATTAATATATTATACATTCAATTTAATTAAATGCATTATAGTATTAGTAGTTTTATTATTTTTGAAAACCCAGGTGTCGAACAAACATTCAGCTATTTAATTTAATGTAGATTTTTCTATTGCTAAAAATAAACACCAGGACAAAAATGTAATCACTATACGGCCATAAGTAGGAATATAACGTATATCTAAATGTAAAGTTTGAATTTCAAACGCATCTTTGTTCGGATAATATTTTTTTCGTATTCGTGCTGAACGATGTTGGCGAAACGATTTTACTACGTGGCGAAACTCATCGCTCATCAGTAAGGCAGAAGACTAGTAGCATTTGTACGTATATTTGTTTTGCACAAAAATAGCATAGTACGAAAAAAACACCTTTCATACTTTTACAAAGAAAGTCTTGAAATTTTATTTTGCATGTAATGCATACTTCAAGGTTTTTTTTATGGTAAGTCCTTCGGGATGGGGATCCATACTCCATGGGTCCTTCCTGGATCTGATGGTCGTCCGAAGATCGTCAATTAAATTTATTTTTTTTTTAAACAGAAAACGTCTCATTATAATATTTCCTGTATTATGATACAAAAAAAATGTCATTGACTTTTGTCAATCGTTGTTCTCTAAAAATTTAATATTTTAGTCACTTATTCTTAGTTCTGTCGTCTATGTACGTGCATTTATTCGTAATTCGTATCAACTTTTCGTACTATCTTAATATTAAAGGCTTGATCACACTAACGTTATATCGGGAACCGATAAAACGCAACCCACCAAATCGCGACCGAAAATAACCGTTTATACTATTCGTTTTATCGGTGGTCGAAAACTGAACATCCAAAAAAATTTGATTAAAATGCGCACATATCTTTTTCAATTTGAATTATTGAATATAAAGTATCCAAATAACATAAAATACAAAATACAATCAACTAACATTACTACAATGATTACTGTCAATAAATGATCAATCATTTTTTCTTGTTTTCCAGTAGCTGAAAGGTTATCTCATGCTGGATAGTAAACAGTTTCGGCTACTTTCTACAAACATAAATTTTCAAATCCCTATTCATGTATTCATTTGGACCTATACCCCATTTACATGTATAGTTCTGGACTTGCTATAATTTTTTCGGTGGAATACATTGTTATATATTGGTTTTGAATTTTTAATTAAGAAATAAAAAACAAACGTACGGCGAGTCGGTGACCGAAAAACACATAGAGTAGTCACAAATTAATGTAATTTTGGATACGTCGGAATCTTATCATCACCTCCAAACCGCAACACGATGTGTTTTGTTTTCAACCGATTTCGGATGGTAAGGGAATCAGTCTACTCTGACCACGATAACAGGTTTTGTACGTTATCCAAGTGTAATTTTATATGTTGCGTTTCGATTGCCGAACAGTTACAGCGCATATTTTAGGGTTTTCGAGTGCACTCGTGCTTGCATATTTAGTGCACTTTCAGTGCTGCATGCATATGAGGATATTTGGTCACATCCATGGAAGGGGAGGCTTAACATTTTTGTTTTATCCATCAGCGTAGACACTTTTAGACGCTTCGACTTACTAACTAGTGGCTACTCCTACTTGATTCTAGTCGAGGAACCAAGTATACATAAATAGGTAATAGGAACATAAAAATATAAAATATTGAATTTGAATTTTATTTTAATTGCACGAAAAACATTCCAGACCATTCTCGTGCACCAACAAAACGAAGTACAAATTATGAACATCAAATATTAAAATACGCAATTCGTTTTGACGTCTGGTGCGGTTTGATCACGTCCAATGGGGGCTTAAGACCCCCAAGTCCCCCCTCCCCAATAACCGTCTACGGGTGCAGGTCCTTCGCCCTACAGGTCGGTGTCGGCCGTACGACGTGGGAACCGAGAAAACCGCTGGTGGCGCGATCGTACCTTTGATTTATTTATTTGGTTTTTTTTTTTTTCTTACACTCCCCCGATAAATATGTACGTCGCGAGCCCGCTCCGGCGTGCTCGTCGCGCACAGGTGGTGGGGCGAGAGTCAGGTGGTGGGGCGAGATGAACGCGACCCGATAACGCGACTGCTTTTCGGACGCGCTAGTCTCCCGGTGCGCGCGCCCATTACCGGTTCTTTTTGCGTTTCAGGTCCGACCGCGCACACTTCGCGACAGTTTTTTTTTCTCGCGTCCGCCCGCGTTATCGTGCTCGCCGTGTACGGCATTACCCGCGTTCGTTCGCCGCGCTCGACCGACGTCGATGCGTTACCGCGGTCGCGTGCCCGTGGTCGTGGTGCACTCCGCTGGATCGATCTTTGACCTGTAGATGGGAGACGGAACGACGGAACGATGAAACCTGACGTGAGTACACGCGCTTTTCGTCGTAGGCACGGTGCTTTCGGCCCGCGATTTCCGCGTACCGAATCGTAGCCGGTGAGCCCTTTTGAAAACGCGTTTTAACGCGTCGCAGTACGATGATAGAATCGTCCGGTGCGCGGAAACTCTACCGCGTCGATACCAAACTGTTTTCTGATTGCCACGAACACGATTTCGTCGCACACTCTCGTAACCAAGGCCGGATCAAGCACCTATTGGGCCTTGGGGGCTGAAATTTTATATGGGCCCTTATGACATAACATGCTTTACAAAGCTGCTCGCAGATTGATACATTTTTTTTAAACTATATCACAAATTGTTAATTGCATTATACAATTTATATCTATATAACTACTAATTTTGGTATGATAAAAAATGTGTATCAGCTTAAAATTGTTTGGCCCCTTTCATTAATTTCGGTACTCAAGAGGGCCCCGGGGTTACCGCCCCGGCTAAACCCCCCCCTTAATTCGGCCTTGCTCGTAACACATCCAGTACCACTTGTTCTAAATGCTTGGAGTTGCACGCGATTTTAGGCCCTGCGCGTCGTCGCAGCGTTTCCGTTTTATTCGACGTGTCCGACGACGTGCACGCGGAAATTCGACGGTGGATGGACTTGTGTAGGATTTACAATATTTGTGCGAGACGAAAAAAGACTTTAATCAAATTATTAAACCTTACGAGCTAGAACAAAGAAAATTATTTTGTAAACATAACATTATCTACTTAAATACGTGCAGTACTAAATCATCGTTTTGGCTGACTTTAATCATTGAATAATTATAATCACTAATTTATTATCAAATTGTTAAAACTGATTTGCAGGTATAAAAGCAATTAGAAAACACTTTTCGAGCTTTCATAATACTTAAAATAATTTCTAGAAATATCATCGTTAGAAGTTCGATATATTTTGGATGATGAGTGTAATATGTTACAACTTTACAAATATGTATTCAACCAAAGTTTAATGTACCACTTAAATATAAAAATAAAGAAAATAATTTTTGTATGCACACTTTAAAGTTAACATTGTTTTGATTTTAAGTATAGTTAATTAATGTATTGTAACTTTGCACTCGGGGGTACTGGTTGTGCCCGGGGACCACCAAAAGGGAAGTGGGGCCCTATAATTTAAGTCTAATAGTAAGGGGCCCGTATTTTAACTGATGTTTCTAAAATGAAAAGTTATTTATTTTAAATTATTTGGCAAAAAATATATGATGTTTCGTAATAGAAAAAAATAAAACAAAATGTTCCAAGTTTTCATGCAAAAACTTAATATGAAAATACAATAGCAACAATTGTATTAACTGTTAATGTACAATTTATAAATAACTTAAGCTCTCTGAGAAAAATATACGAGATTCAAGGATAACCTATTCCACAATATTAAATAAAAAATTTAAAATTATGTTTATTTAATTATTTATATATTATAATTTATTAAATATGCTTACACGTTTCGTTATTACAGGGCACAAAAGTATTGTGGCCTCCTTGAAATACAGATCTACGTAAACCTATGGTAACTTAAAGGAATAAACTATATAATAGTAATTATTGTTCTTTAAATGTTTACTTGTTATTTGTAATAAATTGTGTAAATTAAAAAAAGATACCTAAAAATAGTTTTTTTATCAGGTATGGTATTGTAGATTTGAATAACATATTAGGAAAGGAGAGAAACATTTCAAATATATTCTAAAAGTATTTTCAAACTCTTATCATTATTTTATAAATTATTTTGAATTACTTTTTAAAATATTATAATTTACAATTATAAAATCGTAAATATGGAAACAATCAAAGTTATATTCGATAGCGAATTTAAATGTATTTCTAAAATTCTTATTCGCAGTACGGGCGCGCGTAAAATAGCCGACAATAAAACGGCCGAACCATAGTATAGTCGAAAAATATTTTAACTAAAAAATAATTTAGCCAACAAATATTCGATAAGAACTGATTTGATAAATTGGTTTTAAACTTGGAGATTATAGGCGCAACTAGGGGGCGCAGTAGAGTTTTTAGCACCCCTGAGTTCAAATGTAGCACTCCTGTTTTTTCTTTTCAGATTTATATAATCTATTGTAATTACAGTTAAATGCCATTTTATTTTATTTTCAGCAATTTCAGCATCCCCAATATTTGAGCTTTAGTTACGCCCATGTTGGCGATAAACACGAAGAAGATAAGGTGACTACTACAGTTATTGTATTATTTGTCGGCTGAAATGTTGTTCATTGTAATATCTGTCGGTTAGAATATTATCGGTTGTATTATTTGTTGGGTGTACTATTTTTCGGCCAAAATACTGTCAGATATATTTGTCGGCTATAATATTTTTGGCTGAAATACTGTCGGCTAAATTGCTGTACCCCGCAGTACTAAATCAATCGGTACATTAGCCAAAAATTATACATTTAAATGACCGTAGTGCATGTATAAAACACAGGGAGCAAATTGTGGTATATTATTCCTTTAATATTTTTTTAATCAATTTATTTTCATCATAGTAAATATTAAATTATTGTAATATTATTATTGAAATTTGGTGGATCACCAGAAAGGCGTAGACTGCATACATTTTCGAAGAGCCACAATTATACAATAATTTAGCTTTAATTTTCCATGTATGTCTTAAGCGAACAGCATAAATTATCTAAAATAATACACAGTTAAAATAAAATTACCTTATACAAAAAATGTTCTGATTGAGTTCATGCACTTTAATCAAATTAATTTATTCATATTTAGAATTTTGAGTAGAATTCTTATGCGTACATTGGTTTTCGGTTTAAATATATATACACAATGTATACATGTATAATATATATACATACTAATATATTGCATTACTTACCTATATAGTATATATTTCATGATATAATATCAAATGCAACAAAAAGCATATAAGGGTTGTCATATTGACTTCTTTCAATAATTGCAAGGTTTTAGAATAAACATTTTTCTTCGTTTGCGTAGATTTAATCGCACATAGAATTTGAAAATTTAATTGGATAATTGGTATAAATTTAGTATTATTATTATAAATATAAATTAGAGAGTTCTTACTTGTTTAAATATTAAGATATATGTTAAATTATTTTATTCGTTTTGGATATATAAAATGAATACAGGAAATTATACATACTAAGTGAATTTACAAAACCTTAGTATTGTGGTATGTGAAACTTAAATAATAATTCAAGAATTTTAGGTCATAACAATATAAATTAAATAAATTAATATATCAATATAAATATTTCTTTTTCCATTATAAGAGATTATCACACCGGAGTTTATATTTGGCATATATTTCCGAACGAAATCACGCATTATTAGTTATGAATAAACGGTACATATTTTAAAATAAGGCCTTGAAAAATTAATTTTCACTTCGAGTAATAATTATTGCTTTTAAATCTTTGAATTAGCTCACCTAATAGATGTAGACCAACCCATAAATAATCCATCGTGTCAGCTTTCATACTGAACATAATAGAAGTAAAATAAATTAACGACAGTTCATATATTTTTTTTTTAACCGCGTAGGCATTCAATAGATTGAATTGTTAGATAGTTTAAGTTACTACATATGAATCGCCTAAAATTTGAACAGAACAAATATAGTAAAAGCATATTCAATTTAAAAAATTATCTGTGATCTCGAAAGCAAAATGATAAACGGGATACAGCCGATCGGAATAGTTGGTATGAGAAGAACCGCAGAGACAACAAGAGCAATTGAAAATAAAAACTATTTGATGACAATTAACGAGCAGACATTTTAAGAAAAACTCCTGGTGGTTCTGTGAATGGAGCTGTGTGATGTCTTATACGGATGTGAAACCAACACTGCAGGGACAATGGAAAAAAGAAAGCCGGAAGCTTTTGAAATATGGTGATACCACAAAATACTCAGGATTCTATTAGTAAAAAAATCGATAAATATACATTTTGCGGTCAAAGTGTACTATTGAGTATTATAATACAACACTCGGGCAATTGTATTTAAACGTGTAGCATACCTATACAGTGGATATTTTCAATGATACAGTGCAACTTACAAGCATAATATTTCAGCTTTAAAAGGAAATTTATATTGACAAATAACAACTAAAGATAACTGAAGGTGACTAGATACATCTGACGTTAGAGAATATAATATATGAGAATAAGAATATAAGAGTATACAACAAGCTGAAAAAACGACATCTTGCAAAATGTTTTAAATACGATACTAAGAGAAAAAATGATCTACGTCGTTAGGAAATAAGGTAAAATTATTTTATCCTTTTATATCAATAAAATAAAAATATTACGAATGTATAAACAACTACAGTCATATATTCGTATTTAATACGTAGCCTAGGAATCAACCCATAAAGTTACGCGTTGCATAAGATATAAAGACTTTAAATTAAATGCTTTTTGTTAGTAGGTAAGATATGTAAAGTTTATAAACAGCTATAATGAATTATCTTTGGCTCTGTCCCTTTAGGCATAGGTATAAGATCTCAAATAAATAATATATTGGTATAAGATTTATTATATTGTATAGTAATCTGTGGAGAATTTATATATTTTAGACATTTATCCTTGTAACAAAAAAAAAAAACCACGAAAAAATAACCATATTGATTACTGAAAGGAAATGAGATAATAAATTGATATAGAAATTAACTTATTTAATGATAAATTTTTTTTTAGTATCATTAATAGCTTATAAATCGTAAAATTCATTAGATTTTTGGGTGAACATATAATTCTAACTTTCTACAATTACATCCGGATTTGATTACATATCTGTAAAAAGTAAATCTATGATTGTTTAATATTTTTTAAAAAAATATTAATGTTCTTGAAATAATAATATTGTAATCAATATTTTTTGAAAAAATATTCGTACATTACTATTGGGTAAAGAATTATTTTTGAACTATAAAAATAATATCAGTTATTCATGGCTTGAACATAGT